GGAGACGAAGTAAATTCGAACGAGGATCCTCGGTCATACGAAATCGAAGTGATAGATGGGTTGTTATAAGCGAGACATGTATTTCAGCAGCGCGGTGGGCATTTGATTTTATTACGCAAATATTGTTGCTGCTTTGAAGATAGGTTCCTGATGAATTAATTTCATAATGAGAAGATGGAACGTTGTTGTCCCTGTCTCTACCGAAGTAGGACAATTAATTCCTCCACAGGCGCAAAGTGTCGCTGCTTTATAAGAAACTTTCTGCGTACAAAATTCGGACAACGTATTCTACATAAATACATAAATTACGTAACACCAATTTATCACACAATATTAACGTACCCCAATTCTGTAGATTGATATGTTCATTAATACCATCTTTAGTTTTTGGGACAAGAATACTATTTACACTGCAGACATTGATTCAAGGGCTTGCCTAAAAGGAAATCGTTATAGATAGCATCTTTTCAATGACATGTCCTGTTCTATCTATCGATCGTAGACACGCACAACATACCATTATATATTTAAAATAGAGGTTTATTGATGTCAAACTTTTCGGGAGTTTTGTGTTAAGTTTTTCTAATAAGAATCCTAGCATATTTACCTCGGCATAAATATGAATGGGATTATCCTTGAAGATGTTGGTCATCTTTTTAGTCAACACCTCCCGAGAAGCTGTTGTCACTCTACTGATTATTTTTACTTGTGAAAAAGAAAAACTGTCTAATGGATGGAATGACTACTTGTCAGTTACTCAAACCTAAATCCGTAGAACAAGTTTGTTAATAATTTGTTTTAACTACCTTCACACTTCTATGTGTATCGGTATACAGTATATGTATTTCACGGAACGGGGAAAAATTCGTTCATGCAAATGGTGGTGTAACGGTAACAATTCTATGTGTATCGGTATACAGTATATTTCACGGAACGGGGAAAAATTCGTAAAGGCGAGTTCATGCAATGTGGCAGTACCTAGACTATGTCCCCATCCATAAAATTGCGCACACTCTTTGTGCGGCGTTGTCCATACCAACTAGTCTTTTTGCAGAAAGCTGATAATTGATGTAAGAACGCATATAATAGCTGAAGAGCCGAATATAATATTCTTGATTAGACCTAATTTAAGGCTGTCGATCTCCAGTGTCGGCTAGAGTTAAAGCATTAAACCGCTTACTGGACCTTGATTACGAATTGTAAGTACTTCGAGGGTAGAACATTTTGTCTTCACTGGACTTGATTTTTTTCTGCTGAGGACGGAAGGAGAGATTGAAAAATAAAACAAAATGCAAAAAAAAAGCAACAACAAAAAAGCAACAAAAAACAGACAAGAAGAGTGTTTCTATTTGATCGATCTGACTGAATAGTTTTCAAGTTGGTAGAAAGAATGGAGAATGTGGGTTCAAAATACCCACTATGTGCATGAAAGAAGTTACGCGAGTGCGTGACGTGTGCTTGTGAAATATTATAAACTTGATCCAAGTCATTAGTATTAGGTATCTTATCAAGATTAAAATTCTACGTCAACGTTGAAATGAACAAAAAAGTATTTCCAAACGAAAGCAAATTCACCTCAATGCACAATTTCACATTTAACCATAGCAGTCCTTTGATGTTATACGGTTTTTTACGGAACTTTTAACCAGAAGGATAAAATCGCCAGCTTCGTCAATGTAAATTGGACGAACAAAATCAAAGTACTTGGGATAGTTCAAAAAATCGAGGTCAACGACCAATTTTTATTGTTTACGATGAAGGACAATTTTATCAGACCAACAAACTGATTTATTGTTAGAGTTAAAACCAAAAGTATTTTCAATAGCTAGCGCGACGAATAAAAGAAATTAAATTACTACTTTCGAGATAATCAAAACAAGTTAACTTATTATTATGAAATAGTACCCAAATCGAGCTTGAACCGACATGGGCCATGCTCGAATGATATATTATATACTACACGTAAATCCACGTGTTCACGTGTGGGAGCAATATTAAACCACTAAGGAATTATGGCGGTAAACTCAATCTTAAAGCTAGTCAAATACCGTTTATGGTTACCCTGTCCTTGCCCCACTTGCACGAATACTGTTGCAGGAAATGAAACCGAAAGCATTATGAGACATTCTTCCGTTTGCCTCATCCAATCTACGGAAGCGATTGCGGTAAGTAATTTCATCCACTTGGCGGAAGCCGTTTGCTCACTTCTTTGAAGGGTGGCCTTTCGTTGTCTGGAAAACGTGCCGCATAATTTCTGCGATAGATTAAAAAATCCTTAACCGTCTGCGTCTTTTGGCAGCGGCGAAATAACGTATACCGGACTAGCAATTCTTCGATAGGTAGATATAACGGGATCGGTGTGGGTTCGCGAGCTTTTCGGATTCGGATATTCTCAGGCTGGGTCTTGACGTTTTTTTCTGCTTGACGTTCATTGATTGTTTCAATAATCAACTTGTTGTCATCAATAATTACTTATCGCTCTGGCTGTGTTCGACTTATCATTATTAATAGCCTCGCTTGACTGTTTACTCTAAAAGGCCTCGTCTGACTTATCTTCAATAGTTTCGTACAACTTCCTTTTGATAATGGCGTCACTCGATGTGTCTTCATTACAATTTCGTCCAACTTGTGACGTTATCTTTGACCTGTCACTTTTTGGAGCTTTCAATTTGCCGTCAGGATATGCATCTCTTCGGTTGTCCGTTAACGACTTCCTTCAACCTGTCATTGGTAAGTGTTATTCGATTCTTCAACTGTTTGCCATCGATCGGACATTGTTTTATCAACTTTCTTTTGTTTTCTCGTGATGAACCACTACAATTGGTTGCCGTCCTTTTGACTTGACTCTTTGCGGATGACTTTACTTCAGACTAGGACTGGATTCACGGTTAACAGCTTATCTTGTCGACTGCCACTTTCTTACTCGAGTTTCTTGTTCGCCTTTGCCGTTCCCTTTGCAATCGTTCGTTCAACTCCGTTGTAGCTCTTCTTGGGCTTTTCTATGGAAAGCTCTGATTTCGTTCGTCTAATTCCTTGATCTGTCTCTCATGAAGCTTGTCAAAAGATGAGCCGCCACAGTTCCTGACCCATAGTTTGAAAACTTCTTGAACTTTGCCTTGAACATGAGTGAAATTTGTAGATTTTGTTTTTCGACTTCTTGCATGCTGTTCTTCTTGCATAGCTTCATGCTCTACAACTTGACACAGCATGGTGATGATGGGGGACCAAGTCGTACTGGAATCTCCCGAATGGTGTGAGACGGAGTTGGCGACCAAGTAACCATCTAATCCAAAACCCGCTCGTTTTGCTGCTTTTCCTGAAACATCAAATTGATCTAGTAAACTAATTGTCGACATATTATGCGTGCATTGCATATAATTAGCAAACTCACCTGAAATCCTAAGATCCAAACATATCTCTCAAAAAACGAAGTCTTATGTGGGAGAATAATGTAAATACATATAATCTTGGAGTTCCGCACAGACAGACATTAGGCTAACCTGTCGTCCGTTTTTATGTGAGTAATCAGTTTAACTGATGAGAAAGGATGCCGGTGAGTGTTATTTCTAATGCGACGAATAAATTATGCCGAGTCCGCGTCACATCGTAAAATGCCGGATTGTGATATTACGACTTTGCTAGCATTCTTTCCACTCTTTTTTAAAGAAAATATTATGCGATATCGAATGAGTCAATAACTGCCGCGAATCGAAGGCGGGTTTGGCCACAGGAAAAGTGGGTCACATTTCTGCAAATTAAATAAATTGACGGTTTGAGAATAAAGACAAGAGATATGGACAAGAATTAAAAAACGTTGTAGACTATGCTTACCGCTCGGTTCGGCAGCCAAAGTGCTTTCTTAATATTGCAGTGAAACAACGTATTGGTTACGAGGTTAAAATTGGAGTATCGGTTATTTGGCTTACCCCTGTAGGATTTTTCAAAACGAACTGTCTACTATAATAGGAAGACGTCCTCGAGTCAGCACCTTTTACAAAGACATCAGAAACATCTCTTATCGAACAGTTGCTAAAATTACCTGCGGCAAGACGCACCAAAAAACGCAGACCGGTAAATCGATTTTACTTTATAGCAGAAACCACTTGGCAAGTTTTCCAGAACATAAGAGGCCGATTTTAAAATAGTTACCAGAGGTGCTTCAATCAAATGGACGTCGGAAGACAAAAACGTTAGGAAGTTTTTTCTCCTGCTTGTACAGACAACGAATCGATACGTGGCAGCAATAAATTAATATAATGAATGATAAAATTGCAGTACTCTAATATAATTTCATTGAATCACCAAACTTACTCCGCGCTGAACATCCCATGGTCACTCGAGCAAAACGACGCGTTTGCACTAATAACGACAATAAGTCGCTACGTGAATATATATTATAAAGATACACGCCTTCTTGAATTTAACATGCAACGATCAATTACAGTTTCTTAATGCAATGTCATCGTAATGTGCTCGCCCATAACGCCGTGTTTCACTCTTCTAACCGAGGATGATTAAGTTTTTCAATATTGTTTTGTATGATGGAACCTGTAAAAAAATTTTGCAATTAAAATTAATCGGTGAAATAATTTTGTCAATAAGACTTGTATTATGAATACTTTGTCAATACTCAAGTTCATACCTTCTGACAATATATATGGAATACGTAAATCTCTTGACAGAATCTCATTTAGATTATAGAATGGATTCTCTCTATATATAAGCACACATAACATAACAAGACCCTGCCTGATATCTTGCGGAGGACCGTCATATTCCCGACCGGTCAACATCTAAATAAACAAAAATTGCTCATGTTAACACATAATACACTTCCATTACATGTACATTAAACTTTTCTTTATGTTCCCATATTACCTCAGGCACAGTATAATCCAGAATTTATTGTACTGTTTGTCTTCTTGGAATATGCAACTTGCAAAATCGATCAACCGTCTGTTACCATCCTCATCCAAAATAACATTCTTGTTTTTGCTATCCCTATGCACGACATCATTCTTGTACAAGTGCCCAACCGCACGGGCAACTTTTCGGTTCGGAATATCGATTTGATTTCAGTTTCGGCATCGAAGCGTCCAGTTCTATGTACCCAAACAACTCCATATTGATATTATCACCATAAACGCAATACTGTGGTTCTTTCGGATTATTTTGAAATGACACTCTGCCATTATTTATTGGCTAAGAT